TTTAGAACATTATACCTTTCTCACAAGTAAATTCTAGATGAATATAGTAGTTAAATGTAAAGAAGAAAATAATCTTTCAATTTTTTTGGCTATGGATGGGTACAGAGACTTTTTATCATAAATTAAGTAGAAATATTAACAAGAGAAGAGAATAATATATTTAATTATAAAAATTAAGACATTCAATAAAAATATTAAAAATAAAAATTAAATTGAAACAAATACTATTGAAACAAAGTATTAATCTTATTAATATATTACTATATGACAAGCATTCAACTTGCCTAAAATCAAAGAAAAACAAACTAAATACAAAGAACAAATAAGCCAGATTTTCTTTATCAAATTGACAATATTTTAAATTAAATGAAAATCCTTAGTTCTAGTGCAGTGAGGAGGTATGATGCAAATAGGATGTCCTTTTTATACAACAATTTGGCAACAGTCATAAAAATATTTACAACTATTGGCTTCTTCCAGGAATCTGTCCTAATGAGATGCAAAGATTTATAGATAAGATATTCACTTGAATCTTTAAAACAATGAATCTTTTTTTTTTAAATTGAGTTAATGCTAGGTTACAATCTTGTGAAATTTCAGTTGTACATTAACGTTAAAACAATGAATCTTTAAATGATCTTTTTCTTTAAAAATCTTTAAAAACAATGTGGCTATCCAAAAATAGGTGATAGCAAATAAATTGTGGTATAATTGTACAATAATTATATAAACATGAAAAATCATATTTTTGAAAGATAAGCGCTAATAGGTCAGAACCATGTTCAGAATATAATATATTAATAAACTAGAATATATAGTTCTATACAAAGTGTGACTTTTCATTATAACTAACTTTTCATGTATATATATATATATAGATATATGAAAATAGTAATGTTGATGTCACAGGATTACAGGTTATTTTTATTTCTTTTTTTATTTTTTTATACTTTCTAAATTTTCCAGCATGTGCATGCATTTCAACATCAGAAGAAACAGACATTCTCTTTTTCCTCGTACTCCTCAAAGCATGATCTTCTGAGTTTTCTTTCAAAGGAGAAGAAGACAGAGTAAAGATATCTTGAGAGTTAAATAATGAATTTGATATTTCTAAACAGAAACCTTATCCTAGTTTTGATAATTTGATTTTCTATATCAATGGAATCATTTTGGATGAATATTTATTCTTATTCAGTAAGCTTGTACAGCTATAGCCCACACAAGTTAAAGTCTATGGAATTTAGTTTATAAACCAGCTTCCTACTGGTTTCTGGAATGTGCCAACACATTTTGTAAACAGTGATACTTGCTAAAACTCATCTCTCACCTGAAAAGCATCCAAGAATTTTGCAATAGAAAAGAGTGTGCTCTGTTCAAGCACAATAAATCCTAAGATTTGCGGCGCTACTGTTTTATATAGGAGAATGGCAGTGGAATTTCCAAGAGCTAGTTCCATACCAGGTAGGCAATATCTGACATGCCCACAGGTGAGAACCGGGGCAGAACTGCCCAGGGTTATATTTAGTGGTAGAAAAGAATCCTGTTTGGGAAGGAGCTGCTCTTATCTGAGTGACTTCTTTTCTGTATCTGCAGAGTATTTACCTTAAACCCTATTGATGTGGGCCTAAGGTAATCAGCAAGGCAGAGTGTCATTTCTGATGTATCCACAGTCTTGGCTGTCTCTTAATTTTTTTTGTTTTTTTTGAGTAAGATTAGCCCTGAGCTAACATCCTCCTCTTTTTGCTGAGGAAAATTGTCCCTGAGCTAACATCTGTACCCATCTTCCTCCATTTTATATGTGGGGCGCCTGCCTCAGCATGGCTTGACAAGCAGTGTACAGGTCTGCGCCCAGGATCCAGACCAGAGAACCCCGGGCCACTGGAGTGGAGCATGCAAACTTAACCGCTATGCCACTGGGCTAGCCCCCTGTCTCTTATTTGTTTTAATATAGTTTTTATTTTATCAATTTGGTACTTTTATGACTTTCAAAAATAAAATAGTACTCTCAAGATAAACAGTACCCTCCTGTTATCAATACTTAATCTCTAGAGGTCAACATTTTTAATTATTTTAAGATATTTTTGGTTATCATTTACTTCTATATTTCTCAATAGAATATATATGTTACTAATTCTCAATTTTTCAGTTTTAACTATCACTTACCTGGCTTCCTACTCATATTCACACATATTTCTTCTCCCTCTAAGGCACCAATATAATTATGAAAATTTGCAAATATTTTGATTATCCGTTTTTAGAATTATAAAGAAATTATAATATATAATTTTATTCATAGCTAATATACATAATGTATTGCAAATATAATTACAATTTGTTTTTTTTCCACTTTTTATTCCTGATAATAATTGCCTTCTTTTATCTAGCTTTCTAAATGCCTGTCACTAATCCTTCTCAAACGCTCCATCATAGCTGAAATTTCTCAGTACAATTTAACAAACACTTCAAGTATTTTTACTCAGTTTTATTTATTTTTTTCTTGAAGACATTTGCCCTGGATATCTTCAAGAATCAGTCATTGTCCTACCAAATGTGAACAATATTCTGGTTTCTCTCAATATAGATTAGTTTTGCTCTGAGATCAGAGCAGAACAATTTAGTGATCTCACCAACTGGTATTCAGACTTTCATTTAACTCTACTATTTCCAGTAGATTTCCTCAACCCAAACTGGCAGCTGTCTGGTTGGACTTCTCCAGAGAGTAAGTCTCCAGTATTTGGCTGAAGTGTAGCAAAGGCAGACTCCCAGATGCATCATCTACATTAGGGTATCTAGGGGTGCAAATACTTCTTAAACAAATTTCCAAGGCAGACTTCCTCATGCGTTTTTTTTGTTCCTGAGGAAGATTCGCCCTGAGCTAACATCTGTGCCAATCTTCCTCTAGTTTGTATGTGGGTCACTGTCATAGCATGGCTTGATGAGTGGTGTAGATTCCTTCCCAGGATCTGAATCTGCAAATTCAGGGCACTGAAGTGGAGCACGCTGAAGTTAACCAAAAGGCCACAGGGCCAGCTCCCACTCATTCTTTTTGATGCTTCTTTGACACTCTCAGGAGCACTTGTTGTGTTCCCACCTGCAGGCTTAGAGTTCAGCATTATTCACTCTGCCTAGTCACGTGCCTCTTATCTATTCACTTTTCAGTTTCCAAAATTACTTTTCGTTCACATTCTCTTTGTTTTTGAGAGTTAATATATTAAAATCTTTCCTTTAAGACTGAGAAGGAACTGAGATAAAGAATGTGATCAGTTAATCATTTTTAATTGCAAGTGTAAGGGTCACTGATTTCTGTATTTTGTTATTGTTGTTGATTTATTATTAGTTCTTGTTATTTTGTATTACTTTTGGCAGGGATGAAAGTAGCTCGGAAGGAATCAATGGATTTACCATGACTATACTGATAATATATTCTTACTCTAATTGTTTTTATTGAGGTATAATTGACATAGAATATTGTATTAGTTTCAGGTGTGCAATGTAATGACTTTATATTTGTGTATATTGCAAACTGATCACCAAAATAAGTCTAGCTGACATCTGACACCATACGTGGTTACAAATGTTTTTTCTTATGATGAGAACTTTTGAGGCCTACTCTTAGCAACTTTCAGACATGCAATACAGTGTTATTAACTATAGCGACTATGATGTGCATTAAATCTTCATAACTTTTTACTTTATAACTGAAAATTTGTACCTTTTGACCCTCTTCACCCATTCCACCCACACCCACCCCTTGCCTCTGGCAGCTACCAATCTGTACCTATGAGCTTGAAGTTTTGTGGGTTCTTTAGATTCCATATATAAGTGAGATCATACGGTATTTGTCTTTCTCTGTCTGACTTATTACACTTAGCATAATGCCCTTAAGATCCATCCATGTTGTCACAAATGGCAAGATTTCATTTGTTTTTATGGCTGAATAATATTCCATTGTGTGTATATACTACATTTCCTTTATCCATTCATCCATTGATAGACATTTAGGTTGTTTTCATATTTTGGCTATTGTAAATAATGCTGCAATGAACATGGGGGTACAAATATCTTTTTGAATTAGTGTTTTCATTTTATTTGGGTAAATACCCAGAAGTGGAATTGCTGAATCATACGGTAGTTCTATTTTTAATTTTTTGAGGAATCTCCATACTGTTTTCCATAGTGGCTGCACTGGTTTGCATTCCCACGGGCAGTGCGCAAGGGTTCCCTTTTCTCTACATCGAAGCCAACATTTGTTATTTCTTGTCTTCTGATAATAGCCATTCTACTGAGGTTCCAATTTTTGATCCCTGTATAATTCATGTTAATTAACATAGTGCTTATTGAATATAGAATAAAATATAGTTCTATTTTTCCTTTAATTCTAAGATATGAACTAGAAGTAAAAATATGAAGATATTGTACATTCAAAAATAATAGTTACAAATAGGTTTCATAATGTTTTCAAGCCAAATATTACCGTGATTAGATGAGCTCAATCTATGGTTTACTGTATGCTGGGAACTGAGTGAATTGTATACTGCAGTATGTAAGCGAGACAGGTATTATTATCAGTTTTTGCAGATGAATAAACCGAGATCAGAATAGTATTCAACCTCTTCTTCAAAGTTATATAGATAATAAATAATAGAGTGAGAATACAAACTCAAGTATTATTTTATAATTTTTTAAAGTAATGCTTTTTTCCTGATACATGCTTTCTTCCTTACTTGATCTCTACCAAAATAAGGCTTCAGTAATGTGGAATTTAGGAAAAGCTCTTCCCAGATGTGGGGAAATAAAAGCTATGTTACTCTGGGCTAGTGTTTGTTTCATTAGCTGTTGGACACCATTCTGCAACAGACTTACATGATTTCTTTTTACTTCCTCTCCATTATTGCACATATGCAACTTACCCCTAGATATTTGCCATTTAAGTAACAGCTGAAAGAAAGAATTGGGAACCAGAATTAATAAATTACAAATAAAATCTTTTCTTCTAACAGAGAGAAGAAGAAAAGGATCATCAGGTGCGTTTGGCAGTTGGAAATGGCATACGAAGTGATGTATGGAGAGAATTTCTAGACAGATTTGGAAATATTAAGATGTGTGAGCTTTATGGAGCTACTGAAGGAAACATTTGTTTCATGAATCACACTGGGAAAATTGGATCAATAGGGAGAACAAATTTCTTTTACAAAGTAAGTACAATATTTTCTTTACAAAAGAAATACATTGAGGTCTCCTAATCTCTCTTCTAGACTTTGTGCTTGTAAATTACGGTAAATATTATCAACTTCTTTTTTTAAGGTGAGAACTTCCATAAATAAAGTAGTGGCCTCTAGACGAACTGTGGTGCTGTGGGTTATGAAAACTGCAAACATCTCCCATGTTTTCCCTCTATAACATGGAGATAATGATACCTAATTCTTTTGTTCAGTTTGCAAATTTTATGATATAACATATAAACAGCAAGCATAAGTCCTGATATATATTAATTTAACTATTTCCACTTTCCTTGAGTATTTTCAATCCACTATTTCTATGTACCTTTAATTTTTATATAACTCAAAAATTATATACAGGGGTCCTCCCTTATCTGCGGGGGATACCTTCTAAGACCCCCAGTGGATGCCTGAACTGCAGGTAGTACCAAACCCTATATATACTATGTTTTTTCCTATACATACATACCTAGGTAAAGTTGGATTTATAAATTAGGCACAGTAAGAGATTAACAACAACTAATAATAAAATAGAATAATTATAACAATATACTGTAATAAAAGTTATCATAGATTTTAGCAACCCCAGCATATGATTTTTTTTTTCCTTATTAAACCAAGAACTTTCATTTTTTCACTTAAAGGAAGCACTTTACAGCCTCTCTTTGGCGTATTCGAATTGTTAAGTAAAATAAGGGTTACTTGAATACAAGCACTGCAATCCCACAACAGTCGGATAATCAGATCAGATAATCGAGACGGGTACTAAGTGACTAACAGTGTGCAGTTTAAAACTTATGAATTGTTTATTTCTGGAATTTTCCATTTAATATTTTCAGACTGTGGTTGACCACAGGTAACTGAAACTGCAGATAAGGTGAGATTATTTTATAGGCTTCTAATATATGGTTTCTTTTTCTTTTTTTTTTTTTTTTGGAGGAAGATTAGCCCTGAGCTAACTGCTGCCAACCTTCCTCTTTTTGCTGAGGAAGACTGTCCCTGAGCTAACATCCATGCCCATCTTCCTCTACTTTATACATGGGACGCCTACCACAGCATGGCTTTTGCCAAGCGGTGCCATGTCCACACCTGGGATCCGAACCGGCAAACCCAGGGCTGCCGAGAAGTGGAACGTGTGAATTTAACTGCTGTGCCACTGGGCCAGCCCCTCTTTTTCTTTTTTTTTTGTTTTTGGTGAGGAAGATTGGCCCTGAGCTACCATTTGTTACCAATCTTCCTCGTTTTGCTTGAGGAAGATTGTCCCATAGCTAACATCTGTGCCCATCTTCCTCTATTTTTGGTATGTGGCACTCTGCCACAGCATGGGTTGGTGAGCAGTGTATAGGTCTGCACCCAGGATCGGAACCCAAGAACCCCAGGCTGCCGAAGTGGAGTGCATGAACTTAACCGCTATGCCACCAGGCTGGCCCCTAATATATGTTTTTATAAAAAACTATATCAAGATGCCACTAAAATCTTAAAAGCAGAGAAAAAATCACCTTCCTAGGAATAAGACTTACAGCTAATTTCTCTGTGGCAACCATGGGAAACAAAAGATAGTGGACAGATATCTTCGACTTGCTTGGAGAAAACAATTGTCAAAATAGAATTTATACTCAACAATAATATTTTTTGAAGAATAAAAGTGAAAGTAAAGAAATAAGTCTCAAAATTTATGTAACCTCAAGGAGAAATAAATTCAGAATCATAGTAGGATATTTTATTATAGCTCTTTCAGTGTTAGCCAGAATAAGCAAAAGAATCTTAAGTGATAGCAAATATTTGAATGATACAATAAACAAACTATTTGAACTAACGGACATACATAGGACTCCGTATTTAAAAACTGCAGAATATCTATTCTTTTCAAGCACTTATGAAGCATTCACAAGGATGATGGGACCACTTATGGAATTCCAGCAAATTTCAAATGATTGAATATATATGGATTATGTTCTCTGACATCAGCTTAACAGGCTAGAAATAAAATTTTTAAATGACAGCTAGATCGTCTCCTATATATTTGCAAATAAAGCATCTTTAAATTTCTGTGAGTCAACAAATAAATCAAAATAGGAATTAGAAAATAGTTTGAGCTGAATCATAATGAAAATGCTACATTTCAAAACTTGTGGGCCTGGCTCAGAACAGCCGAAGATTAGTGAACTAAATGTCCATTTGTATAAGTTAATTAAAAAAAAACACTAAAATAAACTCAAAGAAAATAAAAGGAGGGAAATAAAAAAGAGCATAAATTGAAGAAATAGAATAGAAACATTATTGAGGAGTGTCAAGAGATAAAAATATAATTTTTAAAAAGTAAAGAAATTGATTCAAAGCTGGTGCAATTGTCCTAATGTTTGGAACCTCAAGAAGGTGAAAACTATTTTCATAATGCGTTCTTTGGGATTTTGAAGGTCTTATTGACATCTCAGAAATATGTCTGCATTCTGAACAAAAGTAACTTGGGGAAGAATAAATGCTGATATTACTGAGTTTTACATTCCTTACAGTTGATTTTCTCAATTCATTGCACTAGCTCTGTTAAAAATTTGGTATTCCTATTAAAGCTCCTGAGTCATTCCAAAGTAATCATCCAACTGGAGCACAATGAAGAAGATTTGTATTTTCTATTACTGGCTTGACTTCATTACAATTTTCTAATGTCTTAAATTCCCTGTCAGATTGTAATAATGTCAATGCTGGAAGTCATGATTGTCTCCAATTTATTTGGAAAACTTCTGATGTTCAACACCATTTAGTTAGGGTTTTTTTCAGTTAGTAAATTTTTAAAAATATACCCAATATCATATGAATTCTAGTTTCTTTTATTATTCCCTTCACATATTGTTTGTTACATAGCAGGTAATCAGAAAAATTTGGGCAAATAACTATTCCATAATTACATGGGGAGATTTAAGAAGTGTGTCTCTCAGAAATGTAAACCCAAGGAGACTTACCATCTCAGAGAGGAAACAGCCTCTCAATGAAGGTAGGATGTTAACACTGAAGGACAAAGATGAGGCAGCAACACAGAGTTCTTGTAACCCAAATGTCCTTCTTCTGTGCTATACATACTATTTAAATGCATGAATCTGAATGGTGATGTGCCCCATAGGAAAAAATATAAAAAAATTTGTGACAATGCATGGAAGAGACAAACCCAAGTAAGTTACGGACTGTCTTCTCCTTTTCTACACCCAGGGATAATAACAGGGAAGGAAGAAACATGAAATCCCTAGAGGAAATAAAACTTGAAAAAAGGGAGAAAATGAATCTCAATAAAAGACAGCTGAAAAAAATATGGATGCACATTAAAATAATAAGGCCTCCAAAGTGGCCAGGAAATGTTTAGAAAAACAATTTCCCACAAGTTCAAAAATAGCGATAATATTCTCTTTAAAAATAAGAGCTCAAAGAAGAGGAAAGTGCAAGGAAAATGTAAATCAACAAAAAGAGTTGGAAAGTAGGCATGCTCAGCTCAAAGAAAAAAATAAAGGAAAAAATGAAAATATTACAGAGATGAACACTACATTAAAAGACTTACAACACCACATTAAAAGACTTAAAAATAAACAGGAATATAAACATTCCTAGGGAACAAGATGGATAGGATTAAGGAGTCACACAAAGAATAAAAAGAATAAGCAAATATTCTTATAATATAAAGTAAATTAGAAAGATAGATTTTGAAAACATAGACATGTGCTTAATTGGTGTTACTGTAGAAAAGATCAAGTCAAAGAGAAAAACAATTTTTTCAAACCTAATAGAAGAAAACTTCCTTAAAATAAAGACTCCAATCTTTAGCAAAAGAGCACATTGCGTTCCAGGAAAAAAAATATTACGCAGAATGATCATCAGAAAAATATATCCTGGTGAAATTACTGAACATAAATTAGAGAACCATGAAGAGACGCTGAGACAGAAAAAACAAAGAACGTAGAAAGTGTAGGATGAAGATGGGAAACATCTTAGACATCGCTCAAAACAAGAATAAAACATTAAATATCAGAAAGAAAGGAAAGCAATGTTTCCACCGAAGAATTTTAGTTCTAAGTTGTTCTTCAAGTATAAAGGCAACAAAGAAGTGTTCTCAAAATTTTAAGAAATCAGAGAACATAATACCCGTGGATTTACAGGAATGCAATGCTTCTTTATAAAATTCACTGAGTGGAAATTTCTGGTCAACCAGAAGATAAAGCAGAAAAAATGAAGGAATCACCTTCAGTTAAAAGGTTTGATTGAATCTGTTTAAATATAGAAGATCGAACAGCTCTGAATTCTGTTTATAGATGGAATGGAAGTGTAAATCCTGACAATATAAAAATAACTGTAACACTAACAAAAATGGGAATTGGGTGGGAGGAAATATAAGTGCTAATTCTTTCATCTCTCATAGTGAGAAAACCATAGATACAATGTAAAGATAAAATATGGAGTTTAGTCAATAGGCTTATTTTCTTCACATTTTTATAGACTTTTTTAATGTCTTAAAATTAGACATCTTTTAGGGACTAGGAAATTTAGCCAACTGCAAATTTAGGGAACAGTCCACACAAGACCACCCTTACTCCTGCCATCAATTGCTGTTTGAGAGTCCCTAAGACCACCTTTAGGTTTGGTAATTCGCTAGGACTCACAAAGCTCACTGAAAACTGTTAGACTCATAGTTACAGCTTATTACATCTAGAGGATGCAGGTTAAAATTAGCCAGGAGAAGAAGCCTTATGGCAGAACCAAGGAGGGTACCAGATGCAAAGCTTCTAGTGTCCTCTCCTGTGGAGTCAGGACAGTGGCATTACTCTCCTGGAATTGATGTATGGTGATTTACATGGACTATTGCCAATAAAGGAAGCTCATTAAGCCTTGATGTCCAGAGCCTTTTGGGGGCGGGGGTGACTCAATCATGTAAATCTAGTTGGCTGCCTCCATGGCTGACCTCCAAATCCAGCCCCCCAGGAGGTCAAGCTGGGTGACTCAAAGCCCCTACCCTACGTCACATTATTGATGTGGCTCAGAGACGCCACTCTACATCATATTACTATCTGGTTGCTGTAGCCCTCGGGCATCAAATACACTCCTATCTATAGAGACCTTGCAAAGACTTAGAGATTGTCTCCAAGAAGCTGAAAGTAATAGCCAGACCCCTGGTTAAATTTTGAATTAAGGTTAAATTCTTTACCCCACAGGGACTGATATGCTCAAGAAACAATTTAGTTTAACTTTAGTTCCATTTCCTTTTGTTTAAATTCAAGAAAATTTAAATTGATTGCATTTATTAAAATGGTATAGTTTCATTTTTCATAAATTATTTTATTAATCATTTCTACCTTCCTCTCAATCAATTTAAACACATATTTATAATGATGCTCATCAAATGCATTTCTTTATATATATTTGTTCAAAGTTTTCAATATGCCTCGCCCTGTGAACGCAGTGAACAAATGGGCATAAATGCCTGCCCATGTGCAGGTTGTATTCTATTGGAGAAGACAGAAAACAAGCAAGATAAATAAGTTAAATACAGTCTATATTACATACTCATAAACACTAAAGAGGAAAATTAAATAGGGAAAGGAGATTGTGTGTATGTGTGTGTGTTTTGGTAGGGGTTTTTGTAATTTTAGATCGGTTGACCAGGGAAGGCCACACTGAGAAAGCAAGATTTAGGGAAAGGCTTGAAGGATATGGCAATGAGTTCATGAGGCTATCTGCTGTTCAAAGTGGAATGAACAGCCCGTGCAAAGGCTCTAAGGTGGTTACCCGCCTGGCATGTTTGAGGAACAGCAATGAGACCACGGTACTGATAGTAAAGTGAGCAAAGATTTTGAGCAGAAGATTGAGTGCATCTGTTTTAGCTTTAATGGGATCACTTTGGGTGAGTTAAGAATATGTTCCAATGTGTTAACAATGGCTTACTTTTGGTTCAGGTTTGGGAAAATTTTTAATTTCCTTCTTATTTTTCTCTTTTCTTTGATTTTTTTTAGATAATTTTTAAACACAATTAACTCTGAAAACTATTCAGAACTATACTGTTGCATAACAATACATTCTAAGAATAAGTATTCATAATACCCTAATTATATATAATATTATATATTACAATATATAAAAATATAGATTTATAATAGGTAGACGACTTATTTGTGCGTGTTTGTATTTTTTTAAGAGTCTTCTGTTTAAGAAAACAGAGAAACTGCCCTTTACCTATGGTGCCAAATAAATGAGCCTCTGCTGTCAAGGTGGAGGCAATGTAGCAGAATGTTGAGGGGAAAAATCCTACACTGGAATCAGTGTACCAAGGACTCTAATCTCAGCTCTGCCACTACCTGACTTTTTGACTTTGACAAGTAACTTTCCTCTGGATTCAAAGTCTCCTCAAGTGTTAATAGAAGAAATGATTCTTGTGTTCCCTTTCCAACTTCTAAATTTACAAATCTGAGTCTGCAAAGGCATAGAGATCCATCTGTGCGGGAACTCCAAGGGGCAGTGTGCACAGCCACAGGAGTGCACAGCACAGTTCTGGGGGATCTGTGCTCCTAACCTGGTATGAATGGGAGCCTCTTCCGCTGTGCTCTGCACATATATACCTATACCTATACCTTTACCTGTACCTGTACAGGTACATATACATTTAGGAGATATTAAAGTGTGGCATCTATTTTTTTATGTTATTATAATGGCCATTTTTGTAATCTTGTGGGACCTGTTGAATGCAGGGAGAAAAGATAGAAACCCCTCTAGCTGAGACTTACTGCTCTGACCCAGACTACTTCTAGAAGATGCTATGATATATTTAAATTTCCTTTGTATTATAAAATTACCCACTTTTTGACCATTGAATCCCTATATCTGATAACAGGCATATGGAACAGTGATTGGGTGTGGAATGAATCACCCATGCATGTGGTTGCCAAATTAATCTAAAAGAAATAACACTAAAGCTGTTATAATAATATCACCAGTTGCTGGGCAAATTTTTCAAGATACAAAGCATGTTAAAACACTAGAGAAAAGAATAGGTAATGAACTGGGCTCTGTTCTTGTTTGGCCTAAATGATAAATGCAGTTCCGGAACTTCTGGAATCTTTCTTTTGACCAGTCATTAGGCAAGTGGCCAACATCCTGTTATCCCAATTACAGACAAAGACCAAGAAGAAGCAAGCTTGCATTTTAATGAGGAATCTTTATGTCTAGAATAACAATACATTTTCCTTTGCTGCCTCTTTCATTGGCCCTCATTGTAAAATAGGATTATACTAATTTCTACCCCATAGGGTGTTTTGATGATTAAATTAAATACTGCTCTTAAGCTCTTAGCACAGTGTCTGGCATGCAGTAAGTGCTCAATCAATATTAGTTGCTCTCATTTATATTTCAATTCAAATAATGAATTCTGATTCTAGTTACATGCTGAGTTTACTGAGATTAAAAACCAGAGATGTTTCTGTTCAGTCTTTGATAATAAATAATACTATTACATCCATCTTATTCATCTTTTCCCATTTATTTGTTCTATATTTGTTCATTTCTCTCTCCCTCCTCCCTCTCTTCATCCTTCCTTATTTTTCTCACTTCATTTTATTACCTCCATTTTAGTTTTTTTAGTTGAGCTTAATGAAATTGCTTGTTTAATGATCAGGAAAACCTCAATTTTCTTATATATAAAATGAGCGGGTCGGATTGAACCCATTTGCGATTCTCTCTCAGGGTCAGATTTTAGTGGACCTGTGAATCTGCGTGACATGGCAACATGGACATTACAGGAGCGGGGTAGCCAGATATATTTGGGGGCAAGGAGAGATGTCCACTTAACTTGTTTCCCAATGTGATGAGGATGTTCCCACAGATTTGCCGTCTCCCAGCACAACAGTGTGCAGAAGCACTGAGTGTTCCTTCAGGGACATTCAAGTGCAAGGCCTGGGGAAAGATCAATGTGTGTCAAATAATAAGTACATTTTAGGCATCTGGTCCCTTTTCAAAGGATTGGAAGTTAAAAATAGAAAACAAAATCCTTGCATTCACATGCTTACATTTTAGTTCTATAAAGACTTTCCGTTTCAAGGGATGTTTTGAATGACTGCAAAAAGGGGAAGGCAAGAAAATGGTCCTCCTACCTATCATTAGTAGAATATTTCATTATGTGCAGGGATTGCTTGCTATCACTCATTCAAGATTAAAATTAGTGCATCGTAAAAGAAATGAAAGTAAATGTCAGTACCTAAGTTCTGTTTACTAATACCTTCAGTTTTGATTTTCAAATGTTTATTTAATTTTTCATCAGTAAAGTTTACCGGTTTTAATAAATCCACGTTCCAATTCTTTATTTCAATTGACTGAGCATAAAATCTACTACCAGTAGATGTCACTGCCCAAATAAATAACAAGTTTTGTTTTTGTTTGTTTGATTTTGTTTTTACAGCTTTTTTTCACTTTTGACTTGATAAAGTATGATTTTCAGAAGGATGAGCCCATTAGAAATGAACAGGGCTGGTGTAGTAATGTAAAAAAAGGTAAGATTCTTGTATTTGAAGATTTCTCCTCAAAGTTTCTGGATTTTTATTTAATTACTACTGTATTTAGAAAAGAAAGAATGGTTATTTCTAATATATAGTGTAACTTATTTGGGATTTCAATGCAGGTAGAATGGTTTAATTATTAGATGTTAGGGGGCCCAAAAGGATCACTCAGATGGCACATTATTAAAAGTTAAAAGTGGTTACTATTAGGCTCATATTTTTCTTAATCTATCACTTCTGGTTTGTAACAGTGGCACATGTGGAATGCTTGATATCACCAAAATATGCTATAGAAATGAATGACTTAATTTGTCATTGTAGGTCTGGGGGAAAGTTGGCCAGACTTGGATTTCAATCTGGGCTTTCACATTTAGGAAGTGTACAGCTTTAGGCAGCTCACTCAACCTGAGTCTTATTTTCTTCATATGTAGAATAGAGTGACAATATTTATTTTGTAAGGTTATCATTGACGATTAAATGAGACGATGTGTGCAAAGCCCTGGAGAGGGCCTGGCATGTGCCTTCTTACCTCCCTCCCCTTCTCTTCTCCCTCTCACTCTCCCTCCTCCACTAAGGTAGACTTTCTTATAATTTTTGGTTAGAAATTTTAATGAAAGCAAGTGCCCCAATTAATTTGCTGCTACATATCATTAACCTAGAAAATTAAATGTAGAAACGTGCACTTAGAATTGTTTAGAGATCCACTCTGAATAAATCAGGCCAAAAATACTTTTTACAGCCTCAGAATATGTTTAAACTACATTCCAGAGATGATTTTCTTTAAATCTTTATTTAAAATGTGAAGCTAAAGGTTGCAAACCTGTTTGTTTTTTTTTTCCTGGTAGCTGAAAGACTGGAGAAAATATAGGCCTTATCTATTAAAAAACAAATTTCCCAATCCTCTGAATTTCAAGCCTAGGAGAATTTCTCAAATATCTTTCCCTAATTCACCTCTATAGACAGCATCTAAGATAAAAGGCATTTCTAAAGAGATTGCAAAGAACTTTATTTAAACACTTTTCTAGTGTGTTTTATTTATTACAATTACAACAATATCTGACATTGGAACTTGAATCCCAGAACTGCTTATGCAACCTCAGGGTTCCTTAAAAAGCAGATTGGAACAGTATGGTACTGGCATGAAAACAGACACATAGATCAATGGAATAGGATAGAGAGGCCAGAAATAAACCCACTCGTGTATGGTCACTTAATTTACAACAAAGGAGGTAAGAATATATGATGGGGAACGGACAGTCTCTTCAATAAATGGTGTTGGGAAAACTGGACAGCCACATGAAAAAGAATGAAACGACACTATCTTATACCATACACACAAAAATTAATTCAAAACGGATTAAAGACTTGAATGTAAGACCTGAAACCATAAAACTAGAAGGAAACATATGCAGTCAGTTCTCTGACATCAATCTTAGTATTTTTTGCACCAGTTTCCTCAAACAATGGCAATAAAAGCAAAAATAAACAAATGGGAGTACATTAATCTAAAAAGCTTTGGCACAGCAAAGGAAACCATCAACAAAACAAAAAGGCAACCAACTGAACAGGAGAAGATATTTGCAAATCGTACATCTGAGAAGGGGTTAATATCCAAAATATATAAAGAACTTACACTACTTAATATCAAAAAAACAAACACTCCGATTAAAACATGAGCAGAGGATTTGAATGTTTTTCCAAAGAAGACATGTAGATGGGCAACAGGCACATGAAAAGATGTTCAACCTCACTAATTATCAGGGAAGTACAAATCAAAATCACAATGAGATATCACCCTACACCTGTTAGAATGGCTATTATCAAAAATATAAAAAAATAACAAGTGTTGGCAAAGATGTAGAGAAAAGGGAAATTTTGTACACTTTGTTGGTGGAAATGTAAATTGGCACAGCCACTATGGAAAACAGTAGAGAGGTTCCTTTAAATGTTAAAAATAGGACTACCGTAGGATCCAGCAATTCCACTCTGGATATTTATCTGAAGAAAACAAAAACACTACATCGAATAGGTATATGCAACCCCATGTTCAATACCGCATTATTTACAATAGCCAAGATATAGGAACAGCCTAAGTGTCCATTGATAGATGAATGGATAAAGAAGATGTGGTATACAGATACAGTGGAATATTAGCCATAAAAGAGAATGAAATCTTGTCATTTGCAACAATGTGGATGGACCTAGAGGGTATTATGCTAAATAAAATAGGTCAGATAGAGAAAGACAAATACCATATGATTCACTTATGTGTAGAATCTAAAAAACAAAACAAGTGAACAAACAAAACAGAACAGAAATAGACTCATAGATACAGGAAACTGGTGGTGAACAGAGTAGGGAGGAATTGAGGGGGCAGGTGACATAGGTGAAGGGGATTAAGAGGTACAAACTTCTAGTTATAAAATTGATAAGTCATGGGGTGCAATGTACAGCATAAGGAATATGGTCAATAATATTAAAATAAATTTGTATGGTGACATGGTAACAGGACTTATTGTAGTGATCATTTCATAATGTAGAGACGTATCAAATCAGTGATGTACATTTGAAGCTAATAGGATATTCTATGTCAATTATACGTCAATAAAAGAAAAAAAGCAGATTGTCTCCAAATATCAACTTTACTATTTTCCAATTCTCATTTTGGGTTACTCAATATTATTTTTTTCATTAAAGTATTTTGTCTTGCATAAATTATATCCAGAAGGGAAAGATAAGAATAGACTGTGACCTTTTTAAGCATTTGTAGTCATTAATTTGTCAGGGAAGAACCTGTCACCTGTCTCCTGAACAAGAAAAACAAAGGACATAAATTTTAAGGGAAATATAAGGGGCTTGGAAAGTTCTGAAGTACAGGGAATGTAGACTGATGGAATATGTGATGAAGGAGAGGCTCTGGAGTTGGATGGACCTGGTTAAAAAGCTCCAGCTCCAACATTTGGCAGCTGTGTGACATTGGGCAAATCAGGTTTTCTTCCTCAGTTTCTTCACCTGTAAAATGAAGATACTAGAAGGGCCTGTCCTACAGGTTTGTGATGAGGACCAGATGGGATACATAGGTAAAGCACTCAGAGTAGTGGCTGGTACCCAGAAAGTGCCCAATAAGTGTAACAATGGCAATGATTGTGATGATGATGGTGTTGGTGATGACAATGACAATGAGAGGCCTCTGCTATAGCAGAGCTGGCTTGCTTTGGCCAGTGACGTGTGTGCCCTTGGAAGCCAGAATGTCCATAAGGAGTGGGAGCAATGGGAATTGAATAGAGAGTGTTAAAATGACACAAATTGCTTTACAGTTTGCTGGAATTCAACCCCGTGTAACTCATCATGTGGATGTTGCTGCCCTTCATCCAGAAGAGAAGGGGGGCAGGGGGCAGGGGACAGACCAAGTCAACAATGGCCTTGAAATCTTGTAGGGCAGTGATTGCTGCTCCCCTCTGTCTTCTACTCTTCTCTTAGGAGTAGATTTTTACCTTGCAGATTGCTGGGCAAAATCTTGATTAATTTGGATAAATCCTATTGAAAATTTATTTCAGATAAAGTGTCTAAATATAGGTAAAACCAATACATTTCATGTCTCATCTCTTGCCTGTAAAGGATTTCCAAATGAACATCCCAGAAGAATAAAACATTTTCTTAAATTTCTAATAATATATTAATTAGATCAAAGTATTGTACAGAAACCTTGTTACAAAATCATAGAGACTTGAATTTGTGTTCTAAGTCCATTCGTTTCTATCTATTGGACTTTGATAACTTACTTCATTCTGGGCCCTGGTTCCTTCCCTGTGAAACAGGGATTATAATTTTCAATTTCAAAGAATTTCTGTGAAAAATAAACAAGATGACTGCTGCAAAGGGCGTATGGGGCTTGCTATATAGCAAATGCCCAATAAATATTGCTACTCTCATAATCTTATTAAAATTATTATTATGGTTATTACGTATATAGTTGTCATTATTATCACTGTTAAAAATCTATGTAATCCAAAAAACAAGGAGCCATTGGTCCACCCACCCAGGATATAAAATAAAGTTAACGTAACCTTCTTTACATTCGATTTCCTTTTCATTAGTTTTTCCAAAGTAATTTGTGTTTATGGCAATCTGTGAAAGGAGGTGCTAAATGTAGACACCCAGAGTAAATGATATCGGATAGAATAAAAATAAGTTCAAAGGAAAGTAAGATAAGCAACACTGGTTGTGTTGGTTGGATATAATTTAGGTACCTGCATAGTGTGTGCAATGGTGGTTAATGAGATCACTGAAAAATGCCTTCTCTCACAGGAGAACCTGGACTTCTCGTTTCTCGAGTGAATGCACAGAATCCCTTCTTTGGTTATGTGGGGAACAGGAAGCACACGGAAAAGAAATTGCTTTGTGATGTTTTTAAGAAGGGAGACGTTTACTTTAACACAGGAGACTTAATAGTCCAAGACCAGGAGGATTTCCTTTACTTTTGGGACCGTATTGGAGACACTTTCAGGTATGAAAGACCATCAGTTGTGCTGCTCGTTCTGTGACGGTGAACCATGCTCCCAGCAAGGCTCTGTGGAAACATTACAGACCACGTGCTCTTGACCTTCAGGGCGGACGGAGCCCTTTTTGCTCTATAATGTCTCCCCACTTAAAAATTCATTGGCCATCTGTTTTTAGATTGAAACATAAGTTAAAGTTTGATGTCCACTTTTATAATTATTTTAATGAATCACTTTGGTCCAAATCTGAGCTTCTTTTCTTTAGAATCTAAAACAGGGAAGCAGACATGAAATCTAAATAGTAGGGTTAAAACAGAAAATCAATTTCATCAAATATAGTCTAATTCTTGACCTAATGATAAAAATAGTGAAACAGCAAAACTTTCTTTTCTTATGTGTTCTTTTTTAGTTCCTTAAGATTATTTTTGGCTTATGAAATTATGTTGCTTTACTAGTCAATGACATAGAACAGTGAAAGACAGACAGTACACATTCAAAAATGATTGACTGAGTAAACGAGTTATACTTCCTACTTTCTCTCCTTCCTGTACCATGTTATGAGCTCACTTTATGTAAAATTATTTTAATTAGAATAAAATATTCATTTATATGCATTTGAAGAGCCAAAGGGGTTAAGCCCTAGAAATTAAGGGAAGTCAGTACACTGAAAGACAACTACTGTAGCTTTCTTTTCAGTTTTTTCTGTCTGTCATTAGAGATATGGAACAGTATGTACTTAACTGTTGTTATATTACAAAATAAAGAGGGATTTATCATTATTTTACTTTTTATAACATTGTAAAAATGTTATGTTTTACAGTAAGCAATTTATATACATTAGACATAGATAAAATAATTTTCACTAAAAAACAGATACTGATGTTGACTTTGTTGACTTATCAACAAAGTGCTACCTTAGAAATGCCTTTTGTTCTGCAAACTGCCGTTGTTGTTGGTTACTAGGTGCTCGCACAGAGCCAAATGCAAGGCACTAAAACTAGAACTGGGTACCTAGTTCTTCAAATATAGGTGCACTCACTGGACCTTTGTGTTTATTTAGATGGAAAGGGGAGAATGTTGCAACCACGGAAGTTGCTGATGCTATTGGAATGTTGGATTTCATACAGGAAACAAACGCGTATGGTGTAGCTGTGCCAGGTATGAGTATATTTCAGGGTTTGGAAGGATTCTCAGAATAGTATGTACTACTTTTCTTTAGTTTTGCAATCTTAATTAATTCAACCTTTTATTTTTTATATGTTAAAATAAATATCCTAGTCTTGTGTTGGCAAGTAATGCCCTAGACCAAGCTAACAAACTTCATGGTCACCTCAGGGAAAAGGTACCCACTAAATTTTAACGTATGTGTGTATTTTTAAGCAAAGCTCATGCTTAAAATAACTCACTTTAGTGACTCATGCTTGAAAATAGTTTACAGCTTTTCAACAGTCTATTATTTTTCTCTTTATGATTGGAGTTTATACACGCCACTAAACAGGAATGTGTTCTAATTTAAACGTTTAGTAACACTTGTTGTTAAGTTGAATTTTTTTCAAAAATTATTCAAAAATCTGTTTGGCCTCATTTATCTTTGTAAATATGCATATAAGGATTGTCTTATGATGGTGAAAATGGCAAAGAAAAGTGACCAACGTGAAATCACAGACAGCTGTTCTCCTTTGCTGTCTTTTTTTTTTTTTTTTTTTTTTAAATGACAATTTTTTCCAGCTAATGTTTGTAGGTGCAGGGGACACTGGGGGGTTTTCACAGGGGGGCAGAGGAAGGAGATGGTCACTCTAATAGACAGCAACTGGTGCTGGAGAAATGCTACAGGAGATTCTGATCCCCTGGAAAAATCCATACGTGGCATGATAAGAAGTAAGCCATCTGTGGAATTAGTTATGGAAATACCAGTCTCTAGTTTCTTAACTTAAAAGTGTGCTCTTTATTTTTTGCATTAATGCTTAACATGGACAATTCTCTGGAATATATTTGCCTTTAAGTAAGTGTTTCCTCTTCATATTTTTATATTAATGGTGGTAGGATGCAAATTATGGATCATTTATGGGGTTTTCCATTCCATCTATTTCACTTTTATAGTGTAGACAATTAGGGATATACTCTGCCGTTCTCGGTTGCTAAATTATTTCTAGGGAGTAAATCATATGCTCAGGGAAGGATCTGCTCATTTATGCTACTGTTGCATTATTATTGCTGCAGTGGATTTAATGTCTCTATTTGCAACAATTAGTATATAATTAATAGGATTATTTTTTAAATTTAACTAGTACTTACAAAATTGACTCTGTTTCAAACTTTTTTTTCAGATTATGAAGGAAAAGCAGGAATGGCTTCTATTATTTTAAAACCAAATAAGTCTTTAGACTTGGAAAAACTTTATGAACAAGTTGTAACATATCTACCAGCTTATGCCTGCCCACGATTTTTAAGAATTCAGGTAATTTTCCTGTCTGAATTTTAAGAATTCAGATAATTTTATTTACCCATCAAATTTAAGACCAGGAATCCAAGAAATGGTTTAATCACAAAATAGTATTTTATCCCTTACATAATACGTGCATTTTATTTATATTAGAAAATTTCAAGAACAATTAAAAGTGTTGGGATGCTAATTTATGCCATTTTTGAAGCTTGATTATAGAAGGGAGCATGATGAAACGCTAGGATGTTTTTGTCCTAATTATAGAATTGCTCTTTTCCTCTTCAATCAAGACCTTAGGGAAAAAATGATGCTCCCATTGATTGTGGCAAGGCCCAAACTACATCTTACACATGCCTTGTGAAGACTTTTGGTGCAATGTACCTAAAGTTAGGTCCCACCAAGCTGACGTTAAGGTGTCTGCAGGATGTGTGCAGAACTTACAGGCAATTTGCTTTAAGCAATTCTGCTTTTAAAATGTTTCCTCATTCTGTCCAACCTCCCTCCGGGACTTTATATTTTGGGGTAATCCTGAATTCATTGGTTTTGAGAGGTGGGCTCTCTCTTCTTAGGTTACTGGAATAAAGTACAGTAAAAAGAAAACAAATCTACTCAGGTACTGGGTAACTTTACTGGCTCATTTATTCAGCCATTCATTTATTTAATATTGTGCCTCAAATGTAATTTCCCAAAGCCAGTACTCATCATCTCTTAACATCTATTCACACAGAATTTTTCTGGATACTTTTGTCATATCACTGTTAGATTCCCTAATGGAGCAACAGATGGAGACATTTCATTTTCAAAGCTTTTGCTGAGCAATCCTTGTGGCCCAGTCACTACTTGGCCAATGGGGCACATCATCTGAACTGTCATAAATACATACTTCATTTACATGATTTTTTTTTATTTTTAAGAGCTTTCATATATATTGTCTCAGATTATTTCATAGCGATCCTCTGAAATACTAAAGGAAGTAAATATGAAGCAGAAGTAACATATATTCAATTGAAATTTTGATTGAGATAACTATAAATTCACATGCAGTGGTAAGAAATAATACAGAGAGATCCTGTGTACCCTTTACTCAGTTTCCTCCAAAGGTAACATTTTTCAAAACTATAACAACCAGGATATTGACATTGATACAATTCACCTATCTTTTAAAAGTTTCCTCTGTTTTACTTGTATTCATTTGTGTGTGTGTGTGTGTGTGTATTAAGTTCCACACACTTTTATCACCCGTGTAGCTTCATGCATCAATGATCGCAGTCAAGATATGAACACTTCCAACACAACAAGGATACCTAATGTTGCCCTTTTATAACCACACCAGCTCCGCCCCTTCCTATCCTGTCCCAGAAATAATGTATTTTAATAGAGTAGAAAGTTGATGGATCAAATAATATTTTAAACATTTTTCCCCAGGGCAACTTAAAATTCACTTCATTAAGCAGAAGAAATATTTTGGCGTAAGACTACTCGAAGACTAAATCAGTCTTGTACAAATTTAGAAAATATTTTAGCATCATTAAACACCTAAAAGAACTTGGGCCATGACTGTTATGTTTATTACAGTATTTGCTATAGTTAGCACAATGCATGACACTTAGTTGGCCTTCAAAATATTTATTTAATAAATGATTTATAATAAATGATCTGATATAAGCAATGCAAAGTGTAAGTTACTTCTGACAAAATGAATAAAACAACTATTTCATTAAAAATCTGTTTAGCACAAATTAAAAAAAAGATTCTTTTTGCCAATAAATTTAGAAAAAATTTTAAAATGTGATATTACTCAGTATAGCTGGGATGAAATTAAATTGTTCCTTTCATCTGCTGTGGAAACACAAATTATCATAACCTCTCTAGAACACCGTTTGGTAAATATATGATCAGACTCAGAATTTGCATATATTTTGACTTAATAATTTAATTTCCAGAAATTTATCCTTAGTAAATAATCAAAGGTGCACAAATGTTATATGTAAAGATGTTCTTCAAAGTATTTGTAGTAGTAATAATTTTCAATATTCTCTGTAAGTTCAAGAATAAGAGTAAAGTTAATTAAAATATTATAGTTAGATGAGATCTTATGAAACCACTAAAAAGTACTGTTTCAATGAAAATTACCTAACCTGGGGAAATATACCTGGTATAATATTGTTTTTTTAAAAAAAAGCAGAATATCAAATGGTATAAATACAGTAAGCTTCTAATTTTCTAAAAAAGAGAAAAAAATATGTGTTTCTACACAGTCACATCTAATTCTGTGATGACATTTTTGGGTGAGGAGGGGAGAGAAGGCATGAGATCAGGGAAGGAGTTTCGAAGAGAAGTTGATTCTTGAATCAGGCCAGAAGGATGAATAAAAATGGCCGAGTTACTCGCAGAACCTTATATGAACCTCTACATTCATCTGATTTAAAACAAGGTTGCTTCTCCATACTCGAAACTGCCACAAAGATATATACCTTATCTCCTTTAAATCTCTTAAAGCAGAGCATCTTAAACTTTCTAGATTCATGGCATCTTTAGTGTCTCAGTAATTGTTTCATAGCCAGTCCTGGTGGTCCAGTAGTTAACATTCTGTGCTTTCACTGCCACAGCCCGGGTTTGTTTTCTGGTCAGGGAACCATATCACCTGTCTGTTAATTGCCATACTGTGGTGGCTGTGTGTTGCTATGATGCTGAAAGCTATGCTACCAGTATTTCAAATACCAGCAGGGTCACCTGTGGTGGATTGGTTTCAGTGTAGCTTCCCAACGTAACACAGACTAGGAAGAAGGACCTGGCCACCCACTTCTGAAAACCCTGTGAATAGCAGTGGAGCATTGTCTGAGGTAGCACCAGAAGGTGAGAGGACGGAGCAAAAAGACTGGGCAGGGTTCCACTCTGCTGTACATGGGGTCACTAGGAGTCAGAATCCACTCCACAGCACTACCAACAGCAAACTTATTTCATGGCACTCTTGGGCCAAAACGAATACCTAAACATCCCTTTATTCAGTAGTTAGGTAAGACAAACTCATAAGTATTTAGATCTAACAAATTAGTTTCCGTTTGAAAAAATAATGTATATAAATTGAAAGAAAAAATACTCATACTTCATTTTTAAATAACCACAAGTACTAAGGAGATATAAGTTGGATTATAAATTTGGAATTAGATTGAACCGAACAGGCCCAGCCTAATTCCATGTTCCACATTGATTTTTGGCTGTACTTGCTTTTTATCACAGCAACCACTGAAAACCCTGTTTCACAAAGAAATGACATCATTGAAAAGAATGTATCACTAACTAATATTGAAACTGTGACCTACCTTGAGCTAGTAGTTTGTGAGTAGTGACCAACGGATGTCACTAGGTTTACCTTGAATATTTAAAATATCCCATGGGGACCCTGGAAATTCACAGAGGTACTACACAAGGTACCTCGGTGCATAGTTTGGAAACCCAAGTTTCAGATCATTCTTTACTCCCTCTGGTTCTTAGAGTTTTCTGCCTTATGGAATACATTGCTGTCTTTTACAGCTTCTATCTTCTTGGTATCTACTAGCATTCTCTGTACATAATATTGTATCGACACTGAATTGAACCAATAAGCTTATGTGTTTTGAGACATATTTGTAATAAGTTGTAATCAGTTATTGACTTTATTCATAATTCTTATATGTTGAATAGAATTCACAGGTAAATCAAGCTAAAGACTTAAATGTTCCAGGGGGCATTTTTTATTTCTAATGTTAAATTATTGGTAGTAAATATAGAGATAGTTATTGGATATAAAAGTGTTAGAATTAACTATTACAATCTACATTGCTAAATGTTTTATTTATATATTATAGATAATATTAAGTGATTCCACTAATCCTGGTAATTGCTTTATAGGAAAAGATGAAAACGACAGAGACATTCAAACTACAGAAGTTTCAGCTGGTAGAAGAAGGATTTAGTCCACTGAAAATTTCTGATCCACTTTACTTTATGGATAACTTGAAAAAATCTTATGTTCCATTGACCAAAGAACTTTATGATCAAATAATATTGGGGGAGATCAAACTTTAAGATTTTTTATATATGGCATTTTCATATGCTTTCTTAGGAGAGGTGATAGTATGTGACTCTTTAATATGAAATGGGGAAAGGGAACTGACATTAATTGTGTGCTCTATTTCCTTAATATTCAAAGCTTTTCTTTAATTAAGTGAGAAGTTTAATTTGTTTTAATTGAGAACCTTTAGTTGACTATTCTTTTTACCTTTTTGGAGATTCAGTGCATAACTAAGTATTTGCCTTAATCTTAAAGATTTTAAATAATCAATCAGTGGTTAAGACTTTAGACGCTTACTAAAAATGAACTTTTTAATATTTAAAGTTTCTAGTTTTGAATAAATCATTAAATTTTACTCAAATATTTGATTTTTATGTGCCCTGTCCTATAACTCAATAAAACCATCTTCATTAATATGTTTTGAGATTTTGTTCTGATGTTTTAAATTGTAAACTTCCAGTCAAGAGAAACTGACTGACCAAATGCATGCAGTGCTCTCTCCCTTAGCTTAAAGGCACATTAAGATGATAGAAGAAATATGAAAATACGAAACAGCAAAGCAGGAAAACTGATAAGCTAAAAGTATTTAGGAATTTTGGGAAGATATATAAATGGGATCAAATTGACAATAAAATCCAACAGATCTGCAGAAACCATTAATAATACGAGAAAAGAACAGACTAGAATAGAACCCAGGTATTAACCCCAAGATCAGAGGCAGAAAAGGTTTTGAGTGTGAGCAGGTTTGTGAGCAGCTAACTGGGAAATGTAAGACAAGGATAATGCAATAAGCACAGTTGTCCCTCAGTCTGGAGGCACCAGGCTCCAGTGTTTGCTTCAAGCTAGAACCACATGAATGACTCTCTTAAAGTGAGCGTCCTCCGTATGCTGGGTTGTGGGGCTGGACTAAGAAGGGGCGTAGGGCCCAGCAGGAAGCTCTGCTGCCCATAAACCTACCTCCTGTACAACCAGAAGGAAAGGGGGCTTTGCCTCATGTTTCCTCTCCAGGTGAAAAAGCTTATTTTCGTTCGAAGAGAAGCTGCAGATAGTTCCTTTTTGTCATTGTTAGGAAAACATGTTATAAAGTTAAAACATTTTTTAAAATTAAAGGTTAATCATAAGTAGCATAGAAATAAAAGGTCAAAGTTTAGAATGAGCGAATAAACAAGAAAGTGTAATCAATTTTGCAAAAACCAGGAATTTTAAAAGAGAAATATTAAAAATGATAAATAGAAAAAATAAGTCTAAGCATATCTATTCTCCCACTATCTATGAGAATGGATTAATTTTCTGTAATAAAAAAGTATTAAATGAAATGAACAAATTGACATTTAATTTTTATATTGGTGATTTGGCTGTTTTTCACCTTTCCCATTAAAAAATTGTTTTGCCTTTATGTATATATTTGTAATTTATAGGTGCCCTTTAAATGCTATAAATATGACTGAACTCTTTTCTACTAATTCCTAGCTCTTTAAAACCTTTGGAGTTAGATTGTGATGGTGTGAACTAAGCACACCTATCTCACCCCCTCCCCATCCTTCCTGTCAAATCCATTACAATAAAAGACAAAGTATTACAAAGAGAATAAGCCACTAAAAGATGAGGGAAAACCGAGAGAGTGTGTCTTCCATAGTTGAAACATTGTGAGAAATTACTGGAAAATAGAAAACAGATGGAATCAGATTATCAAAGAAACAATAGAGGAAGGGGTGAAACAAAACTTCACACGGATGCAGCTGGAGACTGCTTCAAAGGCAAAAGAAACTCCAACCACATTGAAAACATATAAAGACCCAGCTGGGGCCTCTGTGTAATCATCAGGGTAATTAATTATAGGAAATTGAGATCATGAGGTGCCTTGCCTGTCCCTTGCTTGTAGAAAACTTCCATCAGCAGACAAAGTAGATCATGACATGAAAGAAATAGCAAATAAGACCACATGAAATTCAAAGTTTCTTTAAGACAAAGACAGTAAGGATTAAAGTTTTTAAAGAGCTAGAAACCAGGAGAAAATATCTAGAAACCAGGGAAAGATAATTGTTCATATGTATAGTATATAAAGAATACTTACAAATAAAAAAATACAAAGGCAAAATAATTTTTAATGGGAAAAATATGAGAACAGGTGATTTAACAATGCAAAAATTAAAAACTCAATTCATTCAATCATTTAACGCAACCCCATATATGTGTGTGTGCAAGAAAGAAAGAAAGACGGGTACTAGGGATACACTGATAAGCACAATCAGGTCAACAGGCGAGGAGAGGAAGCCATTAAAAAAACACACAATGAAATGTGGAGTTGCAACTGTGACAATTGCTACAAAAAGATAGTCAATCTTATTGTTAAAGAAAATGAAAATTTAAACAATAATGACATCAGGTTTTGCCCATCAAGCAATAATTACACATTTGTACACATTATTATTGGGTTTGGCAGGCCAGGATGTGGGTAAATTTTAACTTCCTAGTGCCACTATTGAGACTATAACTCAGTACAGATATTTTGGAAAGCAAACTTGGCAATAGACGTAAAAAATTTTCACTATACGACAAGCCTAGCAAACTTCAAACTGGAAAAATAGAAAGAACACCACACCAAGGCACATTATGATCAAATTGTTGGAAACTAAACATAAAGAGGAATTCTTGATAGCAGGTAAGAGAAAAACACCACATTACATTAAAAAAAAGAACCCAACACTTTGAATTATGGCTAACTTCTCACCAAAACTATGGAAGCCAAAAGCAAATGGAACAATAATGTTAAAATGGTAAATAAACAATTGTCAACCCAGAATTCTACATACAGCAAAAGTATTCTTTAAGGATGAGGGTGAAATAAAGGCAGTTTTAGGTAAAGTATATCTAAAAGAATTCATAGCCAGGAATCCTGTGTTAGAAGAAATGCTAAGGGAGCTTCCATAGACCAAAGAAAAATAAGAGTAGGCAGAAACTCCAACCATCAGGTAGGAATGAAGAGTATTGGAAATGGTAAATATGTGGGCAAAGATATTTTCTCTTAATTTGAAAATAATGCATATAACTGTTTAATGCAAAATTCATAACATTGGTTTTGTGGGTTTATACTTAATGTAGATGTAATACAAATAACAATCATCGCATAGAGAATGGGAAATTCAATGGAAAAATTACAGATACTTATGAAGCACTGGGAAAAAAATCTTAAAATTCATTAGCAATTAGGAAATTGCAACTTCAAATAAGAATGAGACTTTTTTGCTAATCAGATTTGAATAATTAAAAAGATTGGATCTGTCTAGAGTTGGCAACGTATTAGCAATAGAACTCTTATAGGCATAGGTGGTGGGATTATAAATGGGCACAGCTTTCTAGAGGACAGTGCCAATCAGCATACAAAATTGATGTAACTTTGACCCAGCAATTCTATTTCTAGAAATAAAAAAATTATTATTGATAGTGAGCCAGGATTTATATCAAAATTTATTCTGCTCAGGGCAGTATTATTAATTGAAGACAATCTAAAATAGAAAAAAGTTAAATAAATATTGGTAGAATCCATATCTTGCCATGCTCTGCAATGATTTACAAAGAGTGACTGATAAGTCAGGATGTACCGACATGGAAGAATATTCATATTATGTCACTAAGAAAAAAGGGGTTAGAAAGGGTATTTATTATTTATTTGTTACAAATGTATTTGAGAAATATAAACATTTGAAGGACAGTTTCAAATATTCCTAACTAGTTAAATAATTAAGAAGTGTGGAGCTGGATGGGGACCGGGTGGGTTTTTAATTTTTACTCTATACCCTTTTGTCATTTGAATTGAAAAATTGCTGTACACTGCTTATGTATGCTTTTAAGACAATTTAAAAGTTACATAAATTGTCTCCTTTAAGGAAAGCATAAGACAGAAGGCAGAGAATTGAATTAAGTATCATTACAGGAGGGAATTTAAGATACTCAACCATTTCTCAGTAGAAATAAATTATAGGTTGTCATTCTTTCTCTCAATATATTTCACATCCCTGTAGACTCCACCACCTCTTGACGTATTTAAGATGAATCATTTTAAGACCATTAAAGACAAGAGTAAAAAACATCTATTTTCTATAAACTTCATACATGAGTGTTAACTTCTTGAAGAAGAATACTCTGGCTGTTAGTTCTGCCTAAATTTCAGTAAATTTGTAAGTAGGTTTTTAAATATATATAACAAAAACCACATTTGAACCACATTTATCATGATCTTTCTTTATTTGAGGTATCTGTTACATCTCTGGCTTTTTTACTGGTGAAGGGTTTATTACCAGGACTGTGGTTTTCAGACCAGGAAACTCTGGGCAATGTCTCCACCAAGTTAAAAATGAAAGTTAAAATGCGGTACTAAAAATGTCTGTAGAGTTTACTTTATTAACTTCTTGCTGTGCTTTCATTGTCTTTTCCTTATTCAGAATTTTGGTTTCTTGATTTAATCTAACTGACATTTAATCTATGTAACTATTTGAGTCAAATCCTTCTGGAGATAGGAGCATAGCTGTACGATTACCATCTATGTACTCTGTCACATTTCAACAGTGAGGTGAAAGAGCTGAAAGTGTGAATGGATTTCCCAGTAACACACCTGACCTTGTAAACAGTGATGGCTCCTCCTCCCCATCACATTATTGTAGGAAGCCTTTATTACCTGAGTCCCCAGCCTCCAGCAAGAGACTGGCAAAATTCAAGATTTTCACAACAGTTGGTAGGGGACTAGAGAAACAGGCCATCTTATACATTCCTGATGGGAATGTAAAATTACATAATCCCATAGAAATCAGTTTAGCAATATCTATATAAAAGCATGTATCTTTGACCCAGCAATCTCATTTCTGGGAATTTATTCAACTGATGCGCCTGGATATAGACAGCAAGAAATATTTACAAGGTCATTGATTTGGGCATTGTCTATAGTAGCACAATACTGGAAAAAATCCAGGAGTGCATTAACAGGGGGCTGCTTAAACAAACCATGATATAAGTGTCCAAAACTACTACGAAAATGAGGTAGCTCCCTGTACTAATTTGGAAAGATCTCCCAAATACATTATGAAACGGAAAACTTCAGATACAAAATAGCATTTTATATGCTTGAAATGGGCACAGAAATAATATGTATTCATGTTTACTATATCTTCATAAAGAAACACTGAAACTTTTCACAAGAAATGAATAAAAGTGGTTATTTATCAAGGGTGAGAGACAAAGTCAGGATAAAATCAAGACTTACCAATATATCTTTTCATCTTGTTTTATTTATATATTATTTTATTTTAAAAAGTTTGGTCTCTTTAAAACAAAATATAAATAAAATATTTAAATTCTCTCTTGACACCACATACTCCTCAAGCTCTTTCTCTGTCCCTGTTTAATACAAAATTTCCTAAAAGAATT